AGTTTCATTTTTAAATATTTTGTTGTGGGTATTTATTATGGGTAAGTATGACAATTTGTCTGTTTCTTTTGTACAAATAAATTTACACAAATCAAAACTTGTTACTCAGCAACTTATTTTATATAGAGAGGCAAATGACACTGATGTCGCACTGATTCAGGAGCCGCACTTTTATAAAGGTGTTCTTCCTGGCTTTCCAATAAAATATAAAGTTTACTATGATTTCGAAGCAGAAGTTATCAAAGTCTGCTGTTATTGCATTCGCAACCAGAATCTTTTCTCCTTTTTTTTGGACTTAAATCATACAGTTTATAAATACTGTTGTTTTTAGATATAAAAATTCAATGGATCTGACTTGACTATTTGTTCCGCTTATTTCGAGCCCCAAACTAATATTGACATAGAAGCTATTAAAAATTTCACAGTATTTTAACGATGAAGAAACCATGCAATTTTTATGTGGTATGGATTCGAATAGCAAATCAGCGATTTGGCATAGTCCTATTACTGATTGCTAGAGGAACGAAGCTTAGGCGATTTTATTTAGTGCGAATCATTTGTTTCTACTTAATGAAAATTCGCGGACCTACTTTCTGTTCCACGCAAGGCTCGAGTTATATTGACCTTACGCTTTGTAGCTTAAGGACTGCTGCCATACGTTCAAGGTTGGGATATCTCTGAGGAAGATTCTCTTTCTGACCATAAAATGATTACCTTTGAACTTGTTTTATGCCGTCCGATTATATCTTCTAATTTGTGTACTTTTAATTTAAAAAGAGCGAACTGGTTTTTATTTAATGAACTTTGTAAGAGAGAATTGTGTAACTTGAATATCCTTCTTAACAGTTGCTTTGATTGTATTGCATTAGAAAATGTTGTAAACAGACTTTATACCGTTGTTTTTAATTGTGCTTTACTTTCAATTCCGATGAAGAAAAGTAAGAAGAATGGGGTTCCTTGGTGGTCTAAGGAAATTGATTGTTATAGAATGCATGTAAATGCTGCTAGGCGTAGATTCCAGAGAGTAAGAAACTGTCTTCTTAAAAATATTTATAAAATTAAATATTTCGAATTGCGGCATAAGTACAAGGCTAAATTAGCTAATGCTAAGCTTGAGTCGTAGAGTAATTTTCTCTCAACTATTAATGTTCACAATGTCTGGAAATCTATATATAAGTATGGGGTTAAGACCAATTTTGCGAAAAGGATTGAGATTTCGGGAATTAAATTCCCGGAGGGCAGTGTTACTTCGAGTTTGAGTGATACAATTGTTGCTATAATGACAAAGAATTTCCCAAGAGATAATCCGCGTGATGATAGAAATTCTCATAGAACTATGCGCACTGAGTCTGATGGACCTTATATTTCTTTTATGGACTGTCCGTTCTCTACTTCAGAAGTTAACAGTGTTATTAAAAATCTCAAGAACAAATCACCTGGGCTTGACTCTCTTTCTAATGAAATTGTACAGTACTTTCATGCGGTGGATAGCACATTTCTACACAGACTTTTCAACCTTTGTTTACAATTAGCAGTTTTTCCAGCACAATGGAAGAGAGCTCGGGTTGTTTTAATTCCTAAAACTTTAGATACAAGAACCCCCTTATCTTGATAATATTAGATGCATTAGTCCTTTTGTCCTATTTTTGGGGAAAATGTCTTGAAACTCTTCATTAACAGAATAAATTGGTATTTGAGACAAAAATATTTTATATAATGATTCTCATTCGGATTTACTCCCTCGGAAGTCCGCTGAAGACGACATTATTCGCCTTTGTAATATCTTGCAGTGTGCAAAGAAAATGAAATATACTACACTTCTTATTTTCCTGGATTTCAAAGGAGCTTTTGATAATGCTTGGTGGCCATCTATCTTAAAAATTTTAAAAAATGCTGGTATACCACATAATATCTATAACCTTCTTAAAAGCTTCTTGAACGAGAGGACTGCTGAGCTTCAGCTTGGGAACGAAGCTAAGGTTTATTCTCTAGAAAAAGGCTCTGTATCCGGACCTACTCTTTGGAACATAATCATAAATGATCTCTTAAGTCATCTCGAAGGTTGTTTAAAAATTGCATTTGCAGACGACTTACTATTAATTTTCCAAGGAAGGATTTTGAATAACATTCTTTTGAGAGCACAAGAAGTTCTAGATTTTGTCTCCAGTTGGGCGATTTCTCATAAACTCACTTTCAATCCTTCAAAAAGTAAAGCTATGCTTGTTCCCAGTACGTTTGATGAACAAAATATTGCTTCTTTGATGCTCGATAATTCTCCGTTGGAATTTGTAGAAAATGTTAAATATCTTGGTGTCATTCTTGACCAAAAATTAACATGGAAAAAGCACATTGAATTCCTTTCTGCTAAATGTGAAAAAAATCATTAATGGCTTTCACCGAATTGCCAAAAATACTTTTGGAGTAAGCTACGATGTTAAGAAACTCATGTATAAGCAGTGTATTGTACCTTTCATTTCGGTACGGCTGTCGTGCTTGGGGACATGTTCTTGCCAAGAAGGTTAACAAAAGAAATTTGAAGAAAGATTCAACGGAAGAATTCTTCTTCGTATTATTAGTGGTTATAGAACCTCAAGCTATGAGGCTACTTTTGTTCTTGCAGGAGTTCCGCCTATTGATTTTGAAATTGCATATAAGAATAATATTTTGAGTCATTGGCAACTTATACTTCGGAAGACTGTATTAACGGAATTGTCCCTCTTCACTGATCTTTCCTCATCTCGTTACTTTAGAACCTATATATTTCTGCGATTATAAAGAGACTGCTGAAATAAGTTTTCATATGGTTTTCTTTACAGATGGCAGCAAGATAAACAACAAGGTTGGCCTTGCATTTTCCTCTTTTTGAAGGCCATTCCGAGATTTGTTTCTTAGACAAACCGTTATACGGAATGAATGTACAGTTTTTCAAGCAGAACTTCTGTGCATTTATCTTGCCGTCAAATGGATTCAGGATCATGGGACAACATCCTCAAAGTACCTTATTTGTTCTGATATTCTTTCTTCTCTTCAACTTTTGAACAGTATTACCAGCTGCGATAAATTAGTTATCGAAACCCTAATAACTGTTAGTTCACTTAGAATTAGAGGTATTGATATCTGCTTTGCTTATGTGCGTGCTCATCATGGTTTCTACGGAAATGAAAGAGCGGATTTCTTAGCTAAAGATGCCTTAAATTTACCCAATGATATCAACATTAGCATTCCAAAGAGTTATTGGAAGTCCTTTCATTATAAAAAGTTTTTAGCTATGTGGAATGAGGAATACATTTCATCTTGTAATGCTGAAGTCACCAAAATGTTCCTTCCTTCTATTTACCATAGACTGAATTCTGAGTCTTTCCTCTCTTTAAATTTTAAAGTGGCTCAGTTTTTATCTGGTCACGGTAAATTTGCAAGTTATCTGTTTCGTTTTAATCTACGATCAAACAATTTATGTGAATGTTCAAAAAGAGTTCCTCAGGATGTGGAACATTTGATTTTCTGGTGCCCTACATTTGATGGCCCTAGATTATGCTTAAAGAATGAATTGAAAATGTTTGGAGTGACTTGGCCAGTGAACTTATCTGTTTTCGAGTAGTCCAGACTGCTGTTCTCTGCTTTTGTTCGCTTTATTTATGCATGTAATTTTTAATGTTTATTTATACATGTAACCTTTAATGTTCTAGTTATTTTGTAAGCCCCGTGTTGCCCGTTTTGTAAGCCGGGGAGTCTGTATGTTCTCAAAGGAAAAAAAAAATATTTTGCTGTAATATTTATAAAAAAATATTTTAAGTATTAATTATTTTAACAGAATTTTAAACAATAATTTAGCACGTATTTTTACTACTAATTAAAATTAATAAATAAAAAGTATTCATATTAAATTTACATTTCATTAGATTAATCTACCTTAGATTAACATATTTAGATGAAATAAAGTAATGAAACGTTGCAAAGTAAATCTTATGCGGACTTCAGATTCTTGAAAGGGCAGATTTAGTCTCTTTTCATTCTAAAAATAACGCTGATGAACTAAAAACGAATGCTAAAACGACCACATCTAAAAGCGGTCGTATCATGACGTTTCAGGGACGTCGACAAATTTCCAAGATGCGACGGCAAATATTTTGCGTCTTCGCAACGTTGTAAAGACGTCGTGAAAGTTACCACGACTACTTTGCAACCTCTCGGACCAGTTTGCGACGTCGTTGCAACATCGTGTGCTTCTTGAGATATAAGTGTTTCTGTAAAAAATGTGCCATTCTTCAAATAGTTTAACAGCTTTTTCTAAGTTTTAAATTTCTTTCCTATTTATGTTCAATATATATATAGGCATTGTAAATTCATGCAATATTTATTTATTTCCTGTTATGTTCTAAGGTATATGTATATATTTTATAATTTTATGAGCAAGCCAAAGATCCACTCTGTACCACGTGTACAATTGTAACCAATGTTAAAAAACATCAGTTGTGTAAAACTTATGCTCAAAATACATAAACACCTGATGCAGCACTCTTAGTGTCTCTAGACAGTGATGTTGTGGATAGGACAGAGTGTGGCATGAATTCGCATGAATTGAGGTAGTAATGAGTACTTAGTCTTTAAGACTTTGACTCAGAAGTTATTTACCCTACGTTGTGCAGAGTGGTGAATGAGATCCACTTTAGTAAATTAAAGTGGAAAAATTCTTGAGTTTCATTTGCTTGGTGAGGATACTGTGGCTCCATCTGTTGGTCTTGGTAGAAGTTGTTGCCGGAGAGCTCGAAGCAGGGTTGGTTGAATAGAGCAATTTATTAAGATAAGCAATAATTGTAGAGGCATAAAATTATATGAGGATGAACGATTTTGATGATAAAACACTTAGTACACTTAAGCACTTAGGATGACAAAGTGTGGAAAATTCACTTGTTTATATATGTTAGACATCAGATATTAAGAATAGCACATACAGTTTCGTACAACAGATTATTGTATAGTTTTTATTCTTTGATTATTTCATATTACAGTCATTTATTGGTATTTCTATATACTTAAAATTTTAAGTATTAAACAAAACTCGTTTGAGAACTGCAAGTTACCACTTTCAGTTCGCTTACATTTACTTGCATAGGTCTTTTATACGTATAAATAATACAGCAAAAGTGATGATAAAAAGTAATGGAATTAGTAAATATAAAAAGATAATGGTATTCCATCTTGCTGAGCATGTGCTTGTTACAGTTATTTGAACATCTAAAATACTAGAATCTGAAAAAAATAAAAAATAAAACACATGGTTAAAAAAGATAAGCCGATATATACATATATATATTATCAAAACCCTTCAAAACCAACAACATTTAAGTCTGCATATTTTTAATGTGAGGTTTAGTTCTTTCACTATTCTGCAATAATTTCAAATCTTTGACAACAGGCATATATATATCTTATTATATTTTGTCAAATTACTCATCTTTCTCCTAGATCATGAAAGGAGCTCCTCTGGCTGTACGTATTTGTAAATATCAACTTTCTAGAAATTAAGATGCGGAATTTGCTATTCAAGCTATCCTATAGTGCTTAAATTACTCCTTTGCCTACCGCACTCTAGATCCTTTGCTGCTCACTTTTGAGGATAAATCATAATTATTACCAGAGCGCACCGAGAAACTCAACAAGATAATTTCGGGAACAGAAAATTCTTTTGATTTTATAACATTTTATAAAAATTAAGATTTAGAATTTAATAAGTAAGGCTAAGAGACAGATATTAACTTCTGAACGCATGTTTGTCGTTATCTGAGAAATAAATCCATAGTTTGAAATTGGAAAACTTAAGGCAAGAAAAGCCACCAAAGACGAGAATATACATGAAAATTATAAATTTCGAGCTCCCGAACATACTTGTGGCCACCCCAGTGCATCTGCTGATATGGTTTTTATCTTTTATGCTTTTAATGTCCCCCAAATAACAACAGACCTTACATAGTGAAATCCTAAGGTAAATGGCTCAGACTTGTGAAACACTAGTGACATCCCAATGAAAAAGATCACCTGCGAGCTTTTCAGATAACTGTTACCAAATATTGGGGAATAGACTAAGAAAAGTCACTTTTTCTATTGCTTGGAGTAGTAGTTTATTTGATTATCATAAAATATATGAGGGCTGTGCCGAAGGATAATGTCTTTGTGGAAGATTCTCAAAAGAAATTGGCTCAATCATTTAAACGTGGGGAAAATGACGAAAACACCTATGCAACTAGCTCATTGACCGGCATTTGATACTGCGTATACGGCAGGGTAATCCACTCCCCTAGCTCTAATAAATTCTCAGTGGAAAGCCTCTGCAGCTACATCTAATAATATCTTTTTATTTGCGAAAAAACCATATTTAATCTTTAAAACTCCTACCCAGGATAATAGCACTAGCACTACCTTTTTATGCTGTTTTCGTAATTCCGTAAGTTAAGGTACCAAATTTTAATACATTTTTGCCAAGGAAATTTCCTTATATTCCTTATATCTATATTCCTCTTTGGCTTCAAGCTTAAGACAAAATTTTGATTCCTTCGAATTTCGAAATTTTTAATCCTAGTCGCGAGCAAATTATTCTCACATTATTGCAAAATATTAGCAGCAATTAGCTTAGATAGCTAATAGTCATAACATCAAATTTTTTAAACAATGCATGTAAGTTACTAAACTTTGGAAGACTTGGTATAAATTATGTTAAATACTTGACATACTTTTCCCTGTTAAGTTGAGACTTTATATTAAAAGAATGTACACAAATTGTTCTTCCTAAGCTTGTGTGTGGATCCCACAATATCCGTGCAAAGTGACGCTCCTTCGGACATTTCTACTTGTGTGAAACAGCTGCTGATCGCTGATAAAATCACAAGCCGCCATTTTCCAACAGGCTGGCAGCCACGTTTGCCCGACTAAACCTCAGTGATTTTTGGCTTTGGGGATACCTGAAGAATGTTGTGTATAGTGGGTGGATTGGAAATCTGGCAGACTTGAAGGCAAGCATCAAACACCACATTCATAGCATCAGAACAGATACCCTCCGAACTGTTGCTGGAAGCGCAAAACGGCATGTACCACTAGTAGCGGAAAAAGGCGTAAGCCGTATCGAACAACTTATGTTCCGTAAGGTTGTTATTCATCCTTAAGGTGTTTGCTTCATGCAGCTTCTCTTTTTCTCTTGTCGCTATTATTGTTTTCGCTATACACACGTATTCTTCAAACTGTTCTCTGTGAACACTTCTTTTCTCCTGTCATAAAACCTTGGAGTTCCCTTAGATTATTTCCTTTTGACTAGCAACATGCCTGTGTTTAATGATTAGGTCTTACCACAGCCAACTGGAAAAATATGGCCTGATTAGCTACATAGTGAAGTAACGGAAGGCGTCTGAGTCTTCCCTTAGTCTGCTCCAGGTTTGAATAAGCCCGTTTCGTTAAATATTTAGATTCTTTTAATTTAAGTAATGCTTAGTAATTAAATTTTCACAGACGGAAAAAGGTATATAAAAGTTCATTTACTGTTAAGACTGATAGCTTAATACGTAGTTTAAGAAATATTCACGAAATTTTCTATACAGTGTTTTACGATATTTTGCACAATTATTTTTATACTGCATAATAATGATTTTTTAGGATTTGTTGAAAACAAAATTTTAAAATAAATAAATAAAAAAGTTTGCTATTTATGAAGATAAATAAATCTTTATAGTTTGATTATTCTTACCTTCACTAAATATTAAAATAAAAATTCTTTAATAAATATATTTACAAAATTTACTGTGGATTTCACTGATCCCACATTTTGCAGGTTTGATTTCGCAAATGTGATGGAAAGGGGAAGAAAAGGAATGAAAAGATTCCAGAATATAAGAAATTTAGCTGACAAAATATAAACACTGTTTAACCAATTAAAAGACATAAAACTGACTTTTTTTGTTATCTTATCACAATATAATTATTTATTAATTATTATTGCAATTTTAATTTTAAGAATAATTTGAATGAAGGATCAGTACTATATCCAATGATTTAAAACTATAAATACACTATAAATACTTGAGCGCTTTCAGAAAGTATGCAAATGCATTTTTATTCATTTCAATATTATCTAATAAAAAGAACAAGAGCTCCAAAGTCGCAGAAAAATTAAAATTTCCTGAAATCCTCTTGGATTTTGCCAAAATAAATTAAATACACCGTACTTTTTTTTGAAAAGTTACAGTAATCGAACTCATGCAATGATATCTTTATAATCTGATAACAAAGGAGAAATCATAAAGGACTGAACAGATGTTGCTTCAATACTTTCAAGATTCTCAGCAAAGGCAATTATTTTTTCGCCTTCTGTATCGCTTGAAATTCATGAATTGTTCATACATAAATATATATGCTACTTTCCTGCCGAATTTTGTGTCAATCGAAGCAGCAATTTGTTGATTTTTTTGCAATTTACATCTTCGTGCTTAACTTTTGGAAGTGGGTGTATAACAAGAAGTTTACTTAATGTATAATAATTTAATTTGACTTGAGTTAGTTTGTTATGGCAAGGCACACTCGATCTATCTATCTGAGGGAGGCTTTCGTGGAGGAATTTCTAAGGGAAACTTTATAAATGGGAAAATTTACGAAATTGACCTTGTAGCAACCTAGGTCGGAACTATCAGTATTCTGCAATTTTACCGCTAGGTGGCTGGTGGACTAATGTATAACGAATAAGCAATGAAGAGCATCTTTAAGCCATTTTTACTTGTAATGACACATTTTCATTTGTCTAAAAGGTAAAATGTTTTTTTCTTCAAATAAGCTTCTCCAGTGATTTTTATTCAACGTATGCTTCCTAGTTATATAATGATAAGTTATAGTTGGAATTTAATATTTTTAATTACTATTCTTTTGACATAGCTATAAATGTTTTTAAATTCAGTCGATAATGTAAGTTTAGTATTTCCATTTAATATATTTTTAAATACTCCCATTTCATTTTCATTCAACTCCAAGAAATACTGCTGTATTCATATGAAGTGATGCATAGATACTTTTACCAATTTTACGTTGCAGCTTAAAACTGAGCAATAAAATATAAATTTTTATCAGCAGATTTTATGTGAAATTATATCTGAACCATCTAAAATGTTTAGTTTATTACATAATGGTGAAGAAAAATCATCAATAGAGGCAATTTTGTCCTTTTTCAAAAATACATTAAAAATATGTTTATCCATATCGGCTCTTTTTTTTCCCTCCTCTCTGCTCATCGTCGGAGATGTCGGATTCTCAGATAAGTATTTTGGACAACCAGTAAAATGTATCGATAAGCATCGTTTATAATTTAGGGTGTCCTTTACAAACTTAAATAACAGTGCCTTCGTTTTTTGATATTTTGATAAATAATCGTACTGAATGATATGATCTTCTCAAAAATGTACCTCCCTTACAAAGCTCCCTTGGAATATTTTATTCCAGAAATCTCGTTTTAGTGTGTCTTTTAGAAACTTGAATACCTATATATATTCATTGGTTTCATCATAATTCGATTTGCAGCCTTGAATGCAACATTGTGTGGGCCTGAAAGAAGACTTAACACTAAGCTCTACATAAAAATCGACAGCTATATTTATTAACAAATACTAAAGAAATAAGTAAACTTAACTATCAGTGTGAACTTAAAAACCAAAACTGAATAACTACTTTATTTCAATTACTTAACTTAAATTTAGTAATAAAAAATTCATGAATAATGAAAAAACAAAGTGCAACCTTAAAGAACAGCACAGAAACTAAAGTAGGAATTCTTCACTTGCAGTGTCCACAGTACAGCGCGAAGGATAAAGTTCAGACGTCTTTCGTGACATCTAATCAAGTGACTTTGTAGCTGACCAGGCCATCTAAATTCCCGACAAAGTTCCATTGCCTCACTATTATTCTGGTAAAATATGAAGTCATTCTGACCGGTAGTTTTAAAGTTAGAGTGTTTTGAAATCGCAACTTTAATTATAATCACCCTGGATTCCTGTATAACATTATTAGCCCAAATGGGCGTTATCCCAGAAGGACTATTAGACTCAAAACGACATTTTGCGTCGAATCACTTTAAATGTCCGAACGACTTTTTAAAATGTTGCTACCAAATATTATTGTTCTGTGTTATATTTAAAGAAACTGAAAAAAGAAGAATCTGCATGAATGCATGTATGCTTCTTTCATTCTAAAGAAACAGCGGTAACTAGAGTCATGAAATTTTGTGTAACATAGTTATCCAACTGTTGATAAGCCCGAGTTTGGAATTTCGAATTCGCTTTATTGTCTATTTAATATTTTTTAAAACTTTATTAAATTTTTTTAATTAAAAAACTCAGCACTTTCAAAGCAAGCAATGGCAACATTGCAGGGAATAAAACATTTTTATCTGTAGCGCGCGAAACTGCCTTTTTGAAATTTTAAAGATATGCTGTTTTTAAAGTATATTGTGCGATTTTGCGGTTCAGGTGAATTTTATGTGGCGTTAACGCTTCACCATGATTTCTAAATGTACACTGCTCTGCCTGTAAAATTATTGTAATTTAGCTGTTGAATTGCATATGGGATAAGTGCGAAGGAAATGATGTTTGATAATGATACCGAAAATGACACAAAGTTTAAAAAATGGTAAAAAAATTAAACACAATGGTTTAATTGTAATAAAAAAATCTGAAGGCTTTCAGATTTTACGTTACACCCAAAGAGGCGTTTTTTAACGTTTTTTTGTGTTACCTTTATTTATTAAGTATCCTGTTCTTCGCACTTAAACTATAAAATTCAGTTCAACAGCAATATCGCAAAATAATTTTAAAATGATCATACCTTTAGAATTTCCGTTACACAGCTGGAGACGATTTTTTTTTTTTTTTTTTTTTTCCCTGGTACAGTGCTGCTATTGCTCTCTTTTAAATCTTTGAGTTTACTAATAAAAATTTATTAAAGTTTTAAAAAATATGAAATAGATAATAAAACAAATTTCAAATTCAAATTTGGGCTTCCAGATGCCCATATTCAGGTGGAAACGCACGTTATTCAAAACTGGATGGATGTATCGTTGTTTTATCACAATGCGAGAAACATACATACATTTAAGGTAGATTCTTCATTATTTAATTTCTTTAAATATCATACAAAGCTCTATTATTTGGTGGCAACAATTTCAAACGTGAACCGACATTTATAGTTTTCAACTCAAAATGTCAAAACGAAATTAATATCCCTTCTGGGTTAACGTCCTTTGGATTAAAAATGGTTTAGTAGGAGAGAGTGTAACAGCAAACTCTAGAGTGCGAGCTCAGCGACAGTGTAAAAAAAAAAAAAAAAACTTACAAACCTTTTTGGACGATCGTTAAAATCAAAAACACTTCAGATTTATTTTATTACTTTAATTTCATTTCGTCTTCTTGCAAGAGAAGATGTAATCCTTTGGCTATGGATGAAATATTTGAAAAATGCATGGAGACTATTTTCTAACAACCCCGAAGCACGTGACAAATTAAGCGCGTGTCGTCATAAATATCGGTTTCTTATGTTGATAACTTTAAGTTTTCAAAACTACAAAACAGATGAAAAAAAAGAAGATATTAATTGCGTGATAATTAATAGAAATTATGAATACTTTACCTGTCTCATTCATTCCATCGATGATCATTACAGAAATGTCCGTGATTCTGAAGTATCCAACGGATGCCGCGTCCGAATTTTTACCTTGAGGGAAAAAAAATTATAAAAACATAATAAGTGCAAGCTCTGGTTGGATTTTTTAAAATTAAGGTGTACAATATAATATTATATTTTATGTTTCACTAACAACTAAAATTTGAAATGAAGATGTCATTATATATGACAGAATATTTAGCATTTCTGGGGGGGAGGACAAATTAAGAAATAAAAATGTTATTTTTTTTTAATTGCAAAGCTGATATCTCAAGTTGGAATAGCACTTGTCATTTAACTATCCTTAACATCAAGTCGTTTACCCCCCCCAAAAAAAAATTAAATAACAAATAGCATAGAATTGGTACCACGTATACTTTAATATTCCGGCGGTTGATTTTGAAAACTGGGGAAATAATAAAAAAAAAAAATTGTAATGTAAGAATTCAGAATTCCGAATTCGTATTTTCGAGTTATCGTAGTACTGCAAATACACTGTAGGAGAAAGCCAGAAAAGTTTATTTGCTGTTTTAAAATAGTTTACATGCATACAAAATTGCTGAGTTTGCAAACTCTCTACCTGCTTAGACCAATGCTGAAGAAAGTCTTCAGTATAATTACTGCTAAGTTTAGAATACATTTTTTATTTTATTTTATTTATTTTGCTATACTGTTAACCAGGGCAATTCAAATTTCTTGCAGCAATTGTCTGAGTGAACAAGTCACACCGTTTCAACAACAGGTGCTGACCCTTTTGTGATGCTATAAAGTACTTATGCTTTTTGACACCAAAATTAAAAGCAAAATCACAATAAAAATTTCACCAAATTTAACTTGAACTTTATGAAAGTCTGTTATTATAGTGACAACTTCCAGCTCGAAATACTGGCGAGAGCGGTTCTTGTAACAGACAGTTTCATTATTTGCTATACTTTCATGTATAAAACAAAGACTAAAATATTAAACAAATTTTATTTTCATCTTTCTTTGTAAAAGACTGAGGATTCCTTCTGTTAAATGAAAAGCATATAGCTTCAACTAGAAAAAGACAATTATCTTTCAAAGACTGTCGATCACAGTGTTATGACAATGCACCTGTAATGTCCGGCTACAAATCAGGTGTGCAACAGAGACTCACAGCACTTAACCCAAAAGCTATATTTGTTAACTGTGATAATCATACACTTAATTTAGTTGGGATTCATGCTGTTAGTCATGAGGTAGCTTCTGTGACGTTTTTTAGTACCTTACAAGCTATCGATGTTCATTTTTCAAGATCAACTGTCCGATGGAAAAGACTGAAAACTGCTCTAGGTGTATAGTTGAAGTCGGAGTCAGAAACTCGTTGGAATGCCAGAGTAGAAGCTGTTAAACCCGTACATGATCAACTCGAAACCTTAGTAGAATTATTTGAAAATATTACAGAGGATCATGATGAAAATGCAGATACAAGAAGTGATGCAATTCAATTGTTGCATCGGATCTTAACTTTTGAGTTTTTTGTTCTTCTTCGATTCTGGAATACAGTACTTGCCAAAATTGACAGGGTTCAGAAAAGGCTTCAATACCCCACTATGAATTTCCACAATGCTGTTCGAGATATTCACGCTTTACAAGACTATATCCTACAAAACAGAGATGAGATATGCACGAAATCTCTTGGAGACGCCAAGGAACTGTGTAATGTTTGTGATGTCCAAGCTGAAAGACGACAGAGAAAGAAGAAGAAAATGCCTGGAGAAATTGCAGAAGATGTAGGACTCACAGCAGAAAATGAAATGCTGCAATTGATGAAAAGTATGCTGGACAAAATACACATAGAAATGGCTGACAGATTCATCAGCTTAAAGAAAGTAGACTCTAATTTTGGCTTTCTTTTAGATATAAACGGACTAATGGCTACAGGCAACGAAAGTAGCTCGAAACAGTGCTGCATTTCCATGGAAAACGTTTACGATACAGACTTGGATGGCTTGGAGATGTATACTGAAATAGTGGACTGCCGAATGCTACTCAAGAAAAGAGCTGATGTTAAGCTTTCCAGATAAGATGTTAAGACGCCAGAGGACCTGCTTTATTGTACAGTATGGAGAAGATGTATCTCCCAATCTGAGAGTTGGTCTTCAGATTTTACTAACTAGTGGAACCTCCATCGTCCAGCTGTGAAAGATCTTTCAGTAAATTGAAACTTATCTTGTCGTACCTGAGATTATCCAGGAAAGATTATCTGCCTTAGCTTTGCTCAGTGTAGAACAGCAGGTTGCCCAGAGTATAAATTTTAATGAACTAATCGATAAATTTGCAGCAGCTAAAGCTAGAAAAATTTCTCTTTGAAATTAGTGATTACGTTTGAAGCATTATACATTAAACTGTCTTTATACATTTTCAAGTTATTATATTATTATATCCAATATGATGTTTAAGTTTTCGGAATTTATATTTGAATAATATTTTAGAATAATCATATTTTCGAACTATCATTATTATCTTAATTATTTTACTACGTTCTAAGTTAGTGAACTTAGCGAAACTTAAAAAATATACGCTTAAAAGTGCTTTAAAAATTAAAATATTTAATAATTTAAACTATTTAAAATTAAAAAATCTCATATTTTAGAAGATTATTGTTATTTTAAACAATTAAAATGTTATTATTTTTAAAGTTTTCTTTTCGTTCTCCACTGCATTTTGGCAGACGCGGGGGGGGGGGGTCGCGAAATCTTCACTTGTCTCCGGGCGCTGATAACTCTAGCTACACCTCTGATTATAGTTAGATACTTTGAATTTTATATTCTAATTTTCTTTTTTACGCATTTATACTCAGAAAATTCTGAGTAAGAAAACGAGGCTTTTGTTTATCGAGTTACTTGAACGATGATGAAAGGTAACAAACTCTGATAAATAGGTTGAATATAAATATAATTAATAATTTACGTACTATTGTGTAGAAAAACTTAATAACGTACCATATATTATTGTAAAATAAAATTAAATTCAAATATTAAATTATTAAATATCATTAAACAATTCTACAAATATGTATGATAGATTATCACGCTTCAAATCAGGTGAAATTTAATAACAAAAATTATGCTCGAAATTCCTTCATTATCCGTCAGTAAATTCCTAATCGCAACACTTTGACAACAGGAGGAAAAATTTGAACCAGTTATTAGTAATTAAAAGTACCCATAAGGGGATCAATATCATGATTTAGATTGAGGAATATATTAAAGCATACAATTTGTATCTAAAGAGAGAGAGGACTTCATGGAGTACATTCTAAGAAAAACTAGTTCGTAATTGAAATTACGCATGAGGAAAAACACTAAAACCAATTATACAACAAAGACTGTTCGCCTGAGATTGAATACCCAGTATTCAGCGGTCTTAGCGCTCGGCTACTTAATATTAGAGGGATATTATAATTTAGGAGTAAATATGTGCTTGAAGCGATTAGCGCATAGATGAGTATTTTATTTGCCACTATTTTTTGTTAAAAAAGAGTCGTATCCCAAAGTCTCTCAAATGAAGTACTTGCCACAAATAATAGTTCGAAATTTGAATTATCATTAGCCTTCCGGCACGCACATATGCGCAAAATTTATGACAAATTCTGTTTTTAATACACATTTTTCGCATATCGAAGTTGAGACGTCTGAAGGTCATTTCTATTCCTCCCACATCATGGAATTTCTACCCTTCCCCACATCATGGAATGTGCCAACAGGAAGTCATTTGACTTTTTTTTTTTTTAACTGGGCTTTTGTGCTACGTGGCAGCTTTTCCATAAAATTTACAACACGCGCGCGGTAGTGTTTTAAAATTCGGAAAATATTTTTTTTCTCAAATATTTTGTAATTTTGTGTTATTGCATTGTATTATTTTAATTTGAATACATTTGGCTCTGTAAATTTTATATCAGTTTTCATTGCAAAAAATATGTGCAACCAGCTGATTTTGCACGGATTCTTCAAGAATTATCTGATGAAGAAAAGGAAACCTTTGGATGGGAGAACAATAGAGATTTCCATTCCTTATTTTCTTTTATTTCTATTTTTTAGAAATAAATAAAAACACTAAAGTTAGTTTAAAGTGCGTTTTGTAACCAGTAAGATGCAAATTTCCTTGCAGAAGTAAGTAATGCTAAGCTTTCTTTTTTTCTTACCACGGTGTTTTCCTTTTCATATTGCCTATATTTGTCTTTGAGGAATATTAAAATTAGCTTCGATTTTAAAATTATTAAATAATAAATTTAAAATTTTCTATAATGTAATACATCATTGGATTTCCATCTCACTAACATAAGAACATAAAAATAATTTACTTATATTTGAATGTGATATCAGTTGTATTTTGCAATAATAAGATTAATATTTTATTTCTTAACAAATTTATTATCAATATTCACTCGTTTCTGTCGTTTTTCGTGCCGAAAACGGTAAAATAACGGATGTCTTAAAAAATACGACGCACGCGTGCTCATGTAAAATTGCCAAGTGCGCATGCTGGAAGGTTAGAATAGAAAGTTTAAATAGTGATTTCGGAGGTTATTCGGAGCCTAGTGTTTTATTTTCAAACATGATACAGATTTTTTACGAAATAAAATGATGGTTAAGCCCAAATATTAGATATTTTTACTAAGGAAATGCTTTTACTGTCTGTAGTTCAGTCTTCTATAATTCATTTTTTCACATAACTTTGTTAACTTCAAAGGTAAAGCATAAAAAATCCTTATCCTTAAAACATTTCAGTATTTCGATATAAAAAGTCGTTCACTTTTACAACCATATGTAAATTTCCTTCTCATTAACAAAAAACAAAATATTAGATTACTTAACAGCAGATGAATAGTTGTCACCATATCAACTACTTCAAAATTAACGCGTGTAATTAGCTAATTTCCGAATAAATAATTAAAGTGAACATATATTTTTTTGCGTAGAATATATGCACAAAATTTGAAATTAGATAACAGCTGAAATAACAGACAACAGCTGAAAATAAGAAGCTAATTAATAACATATCAATTATAAGAAGTTATTAGAATTTTACCATCGATTGGACTATTGACCTCAAGAGAGCACTTCGTGATGTTTACGTCTCCCAGCAAAGACAAGGTTCCATTTCTATCTGAAATTTAAATAATAACTACAGTAACTTTCCAGAACATAACTTTAGTAAATTTTGAGTAAACTTTCTAAATTTCTTAACATAAAAATCTATTCCATTTATTTAATAGATAGTACAAATAAATTTTGAATGATATATAAGGAGATATTTAATAAAATTCTTTAAACGAAGATAGCATACATATTTTCACGTTTCTTGACATTTTATGCTCTTGTCACTTCAATAATTATTAAAATATCAAGAGAAAATTTTAATGAACCCGGTTCACCTCTTTTGTGAAGGGGGCGGAAAATTGGACTCATTAAAAAATCAGCGCTGCCTTTCAGGACAATACATTTATTCCTACCCACTGTACATATACTATTATACAGAGAAAACTAGAAAGATTATCCAGCGCCATCTCTCGGTGGCAGTGGAGGTCATAACACACTGTGCCCAGATGACCTCGTAGTCAGCTCAACTAGAAACATAAAGTGAAATATAATGCAATACATAAAAATTAAACAAACTGTAAATATAATTATAAAACATGAAAGAAAGAAATAAATCAGTCGTTTATGGGAAGTCTGACCAGTCTATGTATTGGTCTTTTCATTTCATTTTTAAGTTGACTGACCTTACTCTTTGGTCACTTCCCTTTGTAAGTGCAAATTACTTTTGCCATCTTCCACTTAAGTAAAGGCAAATTCTCATCCTTGATTAGCACTAAGTCATTCACACGTAAATCGGCACTGGGAAGTTTCCACTTGTTGCGCACTTGCAACTGAGTCAAGTAGCCACGAATTCCAAAACGATTGGGAAATCTGTGTGACTAATTTCCACCGTTCACGGATGGGAATTTTCTCATTTTTAACATCAGGCTAGGGAACACTTTTTAACACGGAACCGACAATAAATGAACCGGTGTAATGACAGAAAAATCATTTGGGTCCTGATCAGCCACTAAAGGACGGGAGTTAAGTATAAGAAAAATTATAGAGGCCAAGTTAATCTCATGGAGAACTTTCTGTAGTAATGTCACTGAAGCCTTTGGACCTACTCAAAAGATAGCATATAACAAGGTGTTTCGTCCCACGACCCTTTCGCCTATGGTGAATAGCACTGCCTCATCCAACATCGAAGTAATCAGTGAGATCATAAATGCCGCTTTTCCTGTTGATGATGAAGAGGATTTCTTAGAGGAAGCGAGAAGAACCTACAGTATGAAATTTCGCCAAGTTACCAGAAGAGACGAACCCCTTCCTACGCAAATGGAAGTGGATAACACCATACGTACTCTGGCACCAAAAAAAGCTCCAGGTCCGGATGGAATTGATAATACCATCATTAGAGAGATACACCGGGAATTCCCAAAACTATTCTTTGTGGTCATTTCAGCTTGCTGGAAACATCAGCACTTTCCTAAAAATATGAAATTGGCAGAAGTGGCGTTATTTCTAAAATCTGGGAAATCTCCGGGCAGAACCTTCATCTTACAGGCCAAACTGTCTACTGCCAGCGCTCGGTAAGGTATTGAAAAGAGTAATTTTTTCCAGACTGGACTTCTTCCTGCAAAGGAACAACGCCCTGCATCCCAACAATATGGATTCCGAATAGGCAACTCAACTGAGCATGCTATAAAAGTCTTAATGGCCACTATCCAACAGAACAAGGATAACAATTTGCACTCACTGGCAATAGCCATTGACATCAACGGAGCCTTTGACTCCCTTTGGTGGTTAGACGTAATGAATTTGCTGCACAGCATGGCCTGCCCAACAGCCATTATTACAATCCTTCGCCACACTTTCAAGATCGAAGAGTACAAGTAACATTAGACAGCGGCCTTTGTGTAAAAATGTGTTTAGAGGGTGCCCACAGGGGTCATGCCTTGGACCAACCCTGTGGAATATAGTGGCAAACTCGGCATTTCGTCAGTTCGAGAGCGTAGAATACGATCGAATCATAGCCTATGCGGACGATTTTATGTTAGTTGTGGCAGAAAGGAGTAACCTCGAAATGAGATCTCAATACTGTCTTGATCTGTTCTTCCGATGGGCCAGAGCTCATATGCTTCAGATTTCGTCAGAGAAAACTAAAGCTTTACTCTAAACTAAAGTTTATATTTAACTCTTCTTTTACTTTAATTCCTAAAGCATCAAGCTCCCACAATACCTGAACATCTGAAGCGGCTACACAAAAATTTGCTGAAACTGCAGTCTTAACATTTGGCTTGTAAACATCTTGACTTCCCCGTAAAGCAAACCCGAAAATCGTTGGCACGCAAGTAATTTCCTGGTTTAGTTTTCCGAAAGATGAGGCTTCAATAATCTGCCGAAACACATCTGCCCCAATTAATATCTCAATGTTTATAGCACTGTCACGGCAGTCGGCTAAGACTAATAATAATACTGCATAATAATTTCTACTTCTTCATTTGGAAAAGAAACAGATGCAGCTGTAATGGTATCGGCCTCTAGCACTTCAATTTGAATACACTGAAATTAGGGTTGTATCTACTAGATAATTTTCATTCTACTACTTCATATCATTTCTCAGTAGGCTTTGCTGAGCCAAAGGAAAAATCTAACAACCTTTCCTTTCTAATTTATTTTAATTTTAAGAGACTTCGTACACCAGCTTCTTTCGGAGACATTATCGCATAATATGCGCGTCATTTTATTGAATTTTGTTTTATTAATAGAACTAACGTATACACTGCAAGTGAGTAACAGGACAGATGATTTTTGTACTCGGTTTGACCTTGACTCTGAAGAATTGCATTTATTCGATGACACCGTACTCTACTTTGGAAAAAGGTATATTTTGTTTATAGAAATGAATCATAGAATGATGAACTTTCCCACAGAAAAAATTTGTGGCTCTATAGTTTTTATAGTTCATTACACTCCGAAGAAAAACATTTGAAACAAAGGTTATTTTGCTTAATAATTTCAACACGCTCATTTACTGAAAGCCTTTTAAAATTAGAACAATTTTGTATCGAGTAGTTTGGATTAGTTTTACACAAAATAAATGTTTGATCTTTTGCTCCAGATACATATACATTAGATATCTTTTTGTAATTATCATTGCGATATTTATTTCTCATCAAAAGGTAAACAGAAACCAAAATCCCTTTTTGCAAAGTCATTTACGGGTAACGATAATAAAAGAGGCGATGGAAATAATAATAATAAACAAAAAATTTTCACCTCTTTTGTGAAGGGAGGGGGGCGGAAAAGTGGACTCCACAGATTAAAAAATCAGCGCTGCCTTTCAGAACAAGACATTTATTCCTACTCACTGTACATATACTATGATACAGAAAAAACTAGAAATATTATCCAGCGTCATCTCTCTGCGGCAGTGGAGGTCATAACAAACCCAGTAACTAACTATTTTATTAAAATGAGTTATACTGTGCCGCACAACAGTTTATAAATTTGCTTAGTTTTCTTGTAATATTGCCGCTTCGAATGAGTTTATCTACCTATTGTAGCCAATATTACTGTCTGAGACCGAAGAGTGTTATTTGCTGTTAAAATGCATTTGAATGGGCTTGAGTATTGCAATAAATTCAACTGGTCGCCGGTCAGAGTCGGACAAGGTCATGCCATGCTGAATCACATTCATGACCCTCATGGTCGTAATCATGGTCTTGATAGTCAGGGAGGATATCTCACTGACAGTATTAGGAATCTCCTAAATCAAAGCAGACCGAACGGGCTAAAGGCAACAAGACTGTCAAATTTCAGGACATGGGTATCTTAGTCCTTACGACTGAAGAAATGAACCCCGAAGAAAATAATTGTAGAAGAAGCAGGTACAGCGATATGCTAAACAGAAAAGGAGAATCAAATTTCACTTCTAAGAGAATCTTAATTTATTTGGTATAGAAACAAAGAATCGAAATTTTTTTCAAAGAAAAACTTCATCAGTTTATTTAAAGAAAATTCTAAGCCTGACCAAAGACTTCAAGATGGTAAGCAGAGCAGAAGAAAATTCGATCTAGGCATAAACGAGGAATTTCGTGGCAAGGAGACAGATGTCAGACAAATGAGGGTAAGCAACAACGGAAGATCACGTTAGGAAATCGATATTAAATCTAGCAGTGCAGAGAAGATGGAGCAACTGGAATGGATCATTTCTCCTTTTCGGCATTTTATCGCTCAAGACTGATGCAGTAGCGCTCATGGACGTTTGTTTATGGACTTGAGCACTCATGGACTCATTATTTTACCTGCGGAACCAGGAGTCATGTATTCTAAACCTAGACAGTAGATGTCTGCAAATTAAAAAAGCATCATTCAATGCATGTAGAAATATCAAAGAACGTTAAACTGCTTGTCCACTAGCCATTATAAAATAGAAGAACGTCAGAATGGCTTTGCATATTGACAAAAATCAGTCCATACGTAGATGATCATCACCAGAACATAACTACTGGAAACTTGGATATAATTCAAAACGTTTAACTTAAAAAACACATGAGTCATGGAGTAAAATATAGACCAGTCAAATACGTCAACAAAAATTACTATTACAAGAATTTAGAAAACAGCATTAACGCATTTATTGCTAAAGCTAGCTATCAGCTATCAGCTTAATTTTAAAAAAAAAGATATCAGCTTAATTTGACTATTGATACATTTTTAAAATGGATAAATAAAATTAAACAAATTAAACTGAACTAAAATTATCAAAATTTGAAAGTCATTTAAATCGGTCTGAACTTCTTTCAAATTTAAACAACTGTTCGCCATCACCAAAATTGATAAAGCAAATAATAACTTTAGCATTATATGAAAAATTCTCTACAAAACAATTATTTGTAAAGAACTTTTTAACAATACTTACCAGCTAGCTAACAATGCTTACCAGCTAGCAAACACTACAGAAACATCTATAATTAACATAATTAAAGCATTAAATAAAAAACTCAAAATCTCTGCAAATCTAAGGTACAACAGATTTACTAGCCTTTATGCTCTCCCCAAATTCCATAAAACACCACTAAA